CGACCCTACTAACTATAGACCGATCTCACTTCTACCAGTCTTCTCTAAGATTCTAGAAAGGATACTTTACGACCAATTGAGTAACTTCCTTGAAGATGGTAATGTTCTCTCCAATAGTCAGTACGGCTTCCGAAAAGGTCGAGATACAACCAAAGCCATTCTTGATCTCACAAGTTTTATCGGAGATTGCCTAGAGCGCGGCAGATATAGTATCGGTTGCTTTTTAGACTTGTCAAAAGCCTTCGATTGCGTCTCCCACTCAGAACTAATAAGAAAGTTATACTACTACAATTTACATCCTCTCGCTTGTAGCATGATAACATCCTACTTGGTAAATAGGCTTCAGTCAGTAAGACATAATAACAGGGAATCGGAAAAGCTACCAGTGGTACTAGGAGTGCCCCAAGGGTCAGTCCTGGGCCCATTATTATTTCTCATTTATATCAACGATTTTCCCTTCTTTCTAAACACAAAAACTGTACTATTTGCGGATGACACGAACTTATTAACTAATGAAGCTACATTCGCAGAGGCCCTAAATCGCAATGAGGAAACAGAATTGAAGGCAAGTCATTGGTTTACAACAAATAAACTAACCCTAAACAAAAATAAAACGGTTAAAGTCGCATTCACTCTAAAAAACACCGGCCCACTACCTACAGACATAGTTAAAGAGACAAACTTTTTAGGGATAACACTAGACGCAAAAATGAGGTTTCATACACACGGTGAGAACCTAGCTAAGAAAATTTCTACAGGAATATTTGCGTTGAGAAATCTAAGTAGAAAGCTTCCGATAGAGACATTAAAAGTAGCTTATTTTGCATTATGCCATAGTAATATAAGTTATGGTATCTTAGCATGGGGTCACTCAAGCATGATGACAAACATATTTAGATTACAGAGACGGGCAGTCCGAATAGTGGGAAGCTACAGAGATGATTGTAAGCGTATGTTTCAAAAATTAAGAATTCTTACGGTGCCCTGCGTATTCATTTTTAACAGCTTGATCAATTTGAGACTAAATATAAACACATACTCCCAACACAAAGATAACCATGAATACGACACACGACATAAGGAAAACTTATGTCTGAGACACATACGTTTAAAGTCGTCACAGAACAGTACTCAATACTTGGGTATCAAATTTTTCAACAAACTTCCTGAGTCGATTAGAAAGTTAGATACAGTTAATTTTAAGAAGGTTGTAAAAAACTTTCTGATTAACAAAGCCTACTATAACTATGATCAGTTTCTGAACGACATCAATGTATCCATGCAATAATGTGTATCATGTTCTATATGTTTTCTTTCTTCTGTACAACTTTTCTTGATTTATTACTATCAAACATTGTAAATGACATTTATGTTATCTCTGTATTTTGACGAGTGTATAATGTGTGTACATTTAAGCACAATAAATTGATTGATTGATTGATTGATTGAATTTTTGAGATTTTCTAGAAATCACGATATTCAATAGTCGATTCCGGAAAAACGGTTGCACTTATAAAAAAAAACGATGCTGGAACTGAGTTCTAGAGCTCGAAATCTACAAGAAAATGTATTTAGTTAAGTTTCGAAAATGTCAACAATTGGCCGAAATGTGAAGAAGGGGGGACCATTGGAAAAATTTCACTTTTAAAAAAGTCGTCAAAAAATTGCGAAAAAATTCAGAGACGTAGATCTCAACAAGCTGATTCCAAAAATATAGTGTGTTGATTGTCTCGGAGCAACATTCTCGAAAGAATCGGTAGGAAATGCGAATTTTTGAAGAATTCTAAAAATCGCGATATTTCAACTGTCGATTCCGGAAAAACGGATCCAGTTATCAAAGAAACGAGGCCGGAAGTGAGTTCTAGAGCTCGAAATCTACAAGAAAATGTGTTTAGCTAAGTTTCGAAAATGTCAAAAATTGGCCGAAATTTGAAGAAGGGGGAAATGGAAAAATTTCAATTTTAAAAAAGTCATCATAAAATTGCCAAAAAATTCAGGAATGTCGATCTCGACAAGCTGATTCCAAAATATAGCGTGTTGATTATAAAACTGCAATATTTTCGGAAAATTGTGTATGAAATTCGAATTTTTCGAACTTTTTAAAAATTGCGATATTTCAATGGACGATTCTGCAAAAACAGTTTAAATTGTCGAAGAAATGTAGCCAATGTATTTAGTTATATTTTGGTCAGTAAAAAAATTGCCGCAAATTATCGGCCCATCAACAAGAAAATTTTTAGTGTTGCAATAAAGATTTTTTGAAAATAAAAAGATATAGTTTTTTGGGTTGCACTTAAATTTTTATTACGTAATTATGCCAAGCGATAAGAAAGTTATTACTTGCGAAGTGGAATTTTGAAATTCAATGTATATCCACTAGAACTTATCTCGCATTTTTATTTTTGACTAGCCAATCATTTGGGTTAATTGTGTTTTATGTATTATGTGTGACACTAAATTAACCTAAAATAATAAAAAAAATATATAAATACAACAGTAAAGTGTAAAACAATTAATGCTAGTATAAGCATACATTAAACAATTACGACTGCACAAACCTATAAAACCAACAGCACTTCTTCACTTTAGAAATCCAAAAATGAAGACAATTTCGGTTACTATACTTGGTATATTGATCTTAAATACTTTAAAGCTCGGTAGGTATAACATTAATAACAATCATCCAACCATAATTTTCTTCGTTTCAAAGGTGAAACGCATGAAAAACATAACACCAACGTAAACGATGTGTCTTCCGAAGAAGAATCACAACATTGTGAAGAACCCAACAACCCCAAATCTGGTAATGTATTTCGAGTTTACGCAAAGTACGGATACTACTTCCCCCACAACCCACAACAACAAAAAGTAGCCCTTTTGGATTATCACAACAACATTAGCATCCTCTACGACGGTCTAACCGGCGACGCTTTCGGTTTTTCGTACGAAGACGGACGAGGAGTTTACATTCCTGCTGGAACTTCAGACAAGACTTGGATTGTTAAGAAACAAAGCTACGACGAATACTTTAAAAATCCGGTTCCGCCAAAAGAGATTTTTTCAATTGGTGAGAAACACGGCTACCATTTTGATCCGGAATCGATACCGGAAGATATGTCTGAAAAAATGTCAAAAATTTTGGCTCCTCTGAGTGTGGATTATTCTTCTCAGTGTGAAGCTTTGGCCACGCTGGGTCACATCTCGAAAATAAGCGCTGATAAGCTGAAGACTTCTTTAGTTGGGTTTGAAACGGTGGTGGGTGATGTCCTGTCCCAGAATCGCGGTGATTTTAAATGGGTCATTGGGTTGTTCCAAGGAATGGGGGATATTTTTGCTCCGTTTGGTAACATGGAGGTTTTAATTAAAAAGAATATTAAGTTAAATTTGACTAGAATTTTTACCGAAGAGACGGGGATTCATGTAATGTGCTACTTTTTGGAAGAGTTGGCAGATCACCTTGACTTGGGAAAAATACTGGGCGAAACTTTAAACAATCCAGTGGAATTTTTTACAGTAACTAACAAATTGGGGGGAGACATAAACTACGGGTTTGATGGTTTAATTAATATTATCAAAGAAATGATAATGGCCAAAGATGGAAACAATTCAAAGGAGAACTTGATTGTTGTTTTAAAACAATATTTCACGAATTCGCGTGTAAAGGGTAATAATTTGGGGCAGAAATGGCGCACTAGCATTCAAGATCTTGACGAGACGATTAAGAAACTGAAATTAGAAAAAGCTTTCCATGGCTTGACGAAGCTCTTACGAGATATAGGGGACCAGAAATGGTGTTTGGGGAATGTGAACATGTCTGAAATTGTTGAGCACATTGTAAGTGTGGATCTTCCTGCTAATCCAGACGTGGTCTACAAAATCATAGAAAAGCTAGAAATATGACAATTTTCACTGTTGTTTGTGTAAGCGCTTAATTACACTATATTAAAATCACATAATTATTCTGTTTATTGAAAAACCTAGCCAACCTAACAACATAAAAGATGCAGAGCATGTTGTCGTTTGTATTACCAAGAGCATAAAGTCCAGGCTTGTATTCTATAGAACTGACTGCACACTTGCAGACAGTTTTAAGTACGTAACAGTGTTTTCTGTTGACGTCATTATTACTTTGAAGGTGATGAATGTGATTATATTAAAAAATTTAAATATTTCAGGAAACTGATATATGTACGGATTGAAGTAAACACATGATTATAAACTAAAACAATTGCATATTCAGTGTTTGGGTGGATAACAAGTGGTAGATATGCAAATCTGATATACCTTCTATTCTGCAAAAACATTATTTTTCGAAAATTTTAAATTTTAATTTAGGAGACTAAATACATTAAGATAGCGGCTGCTGCCATTAGAATATAAAGTAAGAAAACTAAACAACACAAAAATATAAATCAAAATGTTAAACTGCAACTGCATAAACATTTTTCCAAATTTATCTATTTCTCTTCCACTTTTTCTTGCTTGACTGACATTTCATGCATTTTAATGCCCTTTTTTATAATCAACCGTAAATTCCGTTATTTTTAGTTTGTTAAAAACATGAATTTATATCCAAGGTTTACGAGGTACGAATTTTTCCAAAATCACCTAAAATTTTAAATAGCGATAACAGCAAATCGTCAACCTTGGTTTAAATCTCAAGATAAGTTAAAATAATGGGTTTGCTCATTATTAATGAATCTTTACAGTCTCATTTATATGTAAACGCAAAAATGCAAATGGAAGAAAATAGGCCACAAAAGTGGAAAAGACCATTTAGACTTTCTTTACACTGTTGATCAGTGGAGTGCAATCCTTCATAAGAAAAAAATTAAACTTGTACAGATTACATTGGATATATTTTGTATGAAAACCTCAGTGTTAACTAGTTTTCCAAAAGTATTTTTTTAAACCTACAATATACATATTTACCGTTTTATAGACAGAAATGTCTAGCTTTAAATTTTATTGGTAGTGTCTCTTTATGTTAATTAATATTGTGACGTCAATGCGCCTTGTATATAAAGAAAAATTTGGTGACACAGTTGGCACTAGTTCGGCAGCAACATGAAACACACTGCTATTATTCTTTTGTTGTGTTGTTGTTTAATTGTCACCACATTTGCTGGTAAGTGATTTCTATATAATCTAGACTGCTTATTTTCTATGTAAATTTTGATTTTAATTTTTTTAATGTAAAACTACAACCCCCATTTTTAATTTTTAGGTTCCAAAGAAAACAAGAGTAAAGATTCCAAAGAACACAAGGATAAAGGTTCAAAGGGATCTAAAGAAGGCGGGCATTCGGGTAAGAAGTTGAAAGCATACTCTTGTGTTTTTTCGAATTTTTGTGATTCCCAGAGTACGAAAAAATAGGTCTTCCGTTTTCTCTCGTTTGTCTGTCCGGATTTTGTTTTTATTTTCAAATAAGTACATTAAATTTAACCCCTAGGACTATTTACAAAAAATTATAACAAACGTTGATGGAAATTCCAGTAACATTTCAGAAGATTGAGTGTAAATACTTAGGTGACATATTTAGTCATATCGTAACTTTTTAGCAATCTTGTACATCAAATCAAATCTTATAATTTTTCGAAAAATCTGGATTTATGTACCTTCTTTTATTTTTACAATTTTTCCATTTTTCAAAATTTCGGTTCCATAATTTTTCGTTTTTTTTTAACTTTCCAATTTTTCAAATTTTTGTTTCTTTAATTTTTTCGTTTGTTCCATTTTTCAAGTTTTGGATTTTAATTTTTTATTTTCTCAATTTTTTAATTTTGAATTTTTCGATTTTATTTCACAATGTTTCGTTTTTTATTTTGTCAATGTTTCTTTCGATTTTATCATTTTTTAGTTTATTCATTTCTTCCAATCCTTAATCCTTGACTTCAATGCCGCGGTTTTCCAATTTTAAATTTTTTTTCAATTTTACAATTTTTGATTATTCAGTTATTCAATTTTTCGATTTCTTCAATTTCTTGAGTTCAATGCCGCGATTTTCCAATTTTAAATTTCTTCAATTTTGCAATTTTTGGATATTCAGTTATTCAGTTTTTCGATTTGTTCAATTTTCGATATTTCGTTTTTTGCAATTTTTCGGTTTTAAGTTTCTCACTTTTTAGTGTTTCGGTTTTTCAATTTTTAGATTTTTGAAAGTTTTCATTTTACACCTTGTTGTTTTTTCATTTTTGATTTTTAATTTTACAATTTTGCAATTTTTACATTTTTTTGAATCGAAAAGTTTAAAAATCGGAAAATTAAAAATCTAAAACTAAAAAATCTGAAAAAAATTAAAACCTAAAAACAGAAAAAGCGAAAAATTGCAAAATCGAAAAAATTAATGAACGGAAAACTTGGAAAGAAGAAAAAACAAATCGAATCGAAATATTGGAAAACCCAAAAAGTGTAAAATCGTCAAAATTGTAAAGTCAAAAACTGGACACTGAAAATCGAAAAATTGAAAAATTAAATATGGGGAAGTTGAAAATTTAAAAATCTAAAAATGGAAAAATGGAATAAATAAAACAGTTTCGAAACCCATTAATTGAAAAATGGAAAAATTCTAAAATCGTATAATTTAAAAAAGTGACAAATTTTAAAAATTACGTTTATTATTAGATACATTTTTTTGAAGAAACGAAAAATTGAAAAATCGAGAAACTGAAAATCTAAAAGTTGAAAAAAATTGAAAACCGAAAAACTTCACATTGAAAAATTGGATAATCTAAAAATTGAAAAATTTCACAGTAAAAAAAATTAGTAAATCAAGATATTGAAAAGCCGAAATATTGAAAAACAAAGAATACAAAAAACCGGAACGAAAAATTGCAAATCGAAAAACTGAAGAAACAAAAATTGAACCATTAAAACGTCAAAATTCGTGAAATTACAAATCGAAAAATCGCAAAATCTATAAATTGAAACATTCAAAAGTTGGGAAATCGGAAAATTGATGAATTTAATAATGAAAATTTGGAGAGATGCATATCGTGCAATTGAAAAAATAAAAAAATGAAAAATTGAAGAAACAAAAAAAATGAAAAATTGAAAATTGTGAATTGAAAAATTGAAGAAACGAAAAATTTCAAATCGAAAAACTAGAGTGAAAAATTGTCAATTGGAAACTCGTGAAATTCTAAATCGAAAATTTGCAAAATCTAAAAATTGGAACTGAAAAAATTGAGATTTCGAAAAATGAAAAAATCTAAAAATCGAAAATTTGAAGAATTGAGAAGCCGAAGAATCGAAAAATTAAAAAATCTCAACAGAGAAAAATCGAAATATTGAGTAATCACAAAATTGAAAATCGAGACATTGAAAAATTGGAAAATCGGAACACTGGAAAAACTAAAAATAAGGAATAAAATAACTGCAAAATCCCAAAATTGAAATATCGAAAAATTAAAGAATTGAAAAATTGAAAAAACTCAAAAATCAAGAAATCGAAAAATCGAAAAACTGAAGAATCGAAATATTGACAGATTGCAGAACTGAAATATCCAAAAATTGAAAGATGGAAGAAAAGTTTAAAAATCAAAAAATTGAGAAATCGAAGAAAAGTTTAAGAACCAAAAAACTGAAAAATCCAAAAACCTGAAGAACGAAATATTGAGAAAATCAAAAACTGAAGAATCGAGAAATCAAAAAATCTAAAATTTTAAAAATTGAAAAATTAAATTAAAAAAATGGAAAAATTGAATCGGAAAAATCAAAACTCTGAAATATCTCAAAATTACAATTATTATTAGACACATTTTTAAAATGAAAACTACAAAAATTGCAAGTCAAATGCTGAAGAAACGAAAAATTGGAAAATCGAGGAACTGAAAATCTAACGCTTGAAGAAAACTGAAAATCGAAAAACTTCAAATCGAAAAGTTGAAAAATTGCACAGTAAAAAAAATTTATAAATCAAAAAGCCTAAATACTGAAAAACAAAGAATACAAAAAACCGGAACGAAAAATTGCAAATCGAAAAACTGAATAAACAAAAAGTCAAAAAATCTAAAAATCTAAAAATTGAACCATTAAAAATTGAAAACTCGTGAAATTACAAATCGAAAAATCGCAAAATCTACAAATTGAAACATTCAAAAGTTGGAAAATCGAAAAATTGATGAATTTAATAATGAAAATTTGGAGAGATGCATATCGTAAAATTGAAGAAATAAAAAAATAAAAAATTGAAGAAACAAAAAAAATGAAAAATTGAGGAAACGAAAAATTGCAAATCAAAAAACTGGAGTGAAAAATTAACAATTGGAAACCCGTCAAATTCTGAATCGAAAATTTGCAAAATCTAAAAATTGAAATATCAAAAAATTTAAAAATGAAAACACTATGCGAATGCGAATTTAAAAATGGGGAAAACGTAAAACTGAAAAACTGAAAACGGAAAAACAAAAAATTATATATTGAAAAAGCGAAAAATTGTATAGCTAATGGAACTAAACAATCGACACTAAAAATTGTAAATCGAAAAATACAAGAAATAAAAAACTGAAAAATCTGAAATTGAGAAATTAAAAATTGAAAACTCGTGAAATTGCAACTAAAAAATTGCAAGATAGTGAAACATTCAAAAGTTGGAAAATTCGAAAACTGAAAAATTTTAAAGTAAAAATTCGAAGTGATGCAAAATTGAAGAAAAAAGAAAAATGAAAAATTGAAAAATTGCAATTCGAAAATTTGAATAAATGAAAGATTAAAGAGTCGAATACGTGAAAAACTAAGAGTTGAAAACTCGAATAATTTTAGATCGAAAAATTGTGAAATCTAAAAATTGAAGAAACAAGAAAAATGGAAAATTGAAAAGTCACAAAGCTAAAAACTGAAAAAACGAAAAATTGAAAAACTGAAATTGAAAAAACAAAAACTTCTAAAATCGGAACACTGGATAATCGAAAAATTCTAAAATGAAAAAAAAATAAAAAACCGAAAGGAAAAATGTCAAATCGAAAAATTGTAGTTAAAAATTAACAAATTGTAAAATCAAAAAATTGGAACATCCAAAAATTTAAAAATGAAGATACTAAAGAGTTGGATATCATGAAATTGAAGCAACAAAAAAATAAAAAATTGAAAAAATGCGAATTGAAAAATTTGGGTAACGTAAACCTGAAAAATTTAAAACGAAAAACCAAAAAAATTATACAATCGAGACATTGAAAAATCGAGAAATTGTATAAATGAAGAAGAAACAACCGACACTAAAAATTTTGAATCGAAAAATTGAAGAAATGAAAAACTGAAAAATCTAAAATTGAGAACCTAAAAATTAAAATGGAAATCGAAAAATTTCAACTGTATGTAAACAGCTCCACCTCCAATTATTTACCCTTATTTTAGTTATTTTTTTCAAGCATACTTTCTTTTTAAAATTTCGATGCAACGTTGTCCATTTATTCCGATCTTCTTGAAACTTTTTGACAGCGTAGAAACATTTTTCAGGGGGAAAGGGCCACTCAGGGAGTGGAAGCAAAGAATCTGGGAGTGGAAGTAAAGAATCTGGGGGTGGAAGCAAAGAATCTGGGAGTGGCAGCAAGGAATCCGGAAGTGGCAGCAAAGAATCTGGAGGTGGCAGCAAGGATTCTGGAAGTGGCAGCAATGAGTCCGGAGGTGACAGTAAGGGCTCTGGAGGTGGCGGCTCTGGAGGTGGCAGCTCTGGAAAACATTCAGGTACTAAAATAAACTCCGAGTACTACTTCACCACGTGTTCTTTTTGCAGTATCGCTGAAATTTACCGCCTCATCCACTTACTGTTATACCTACAACGAGAAAAGTCAAACCGTGATTTACAACGACTACGAAAACAAGTTGGCTGTTTTTTACGTTGGTCAAAGTGGCGAAGCTTACATATTTTCGTTCCAAGAAGGTAGAGCAGTGTACATTAGTGGAGGTTTAACCAAAAACACTTGGAATGTCAAAAACAAAAAATTCGAAGAATATTTCAAAAAAGTGTATTCGACCAAAGAACTGTACGAATTTGGTTTGAAGCGTGGATATGCATTTAATGGTGATACTGTTGACAAAAAGGTACTGGTGAAGCTTAAACAGGTTTTGGTCACTCAAAGTAGGGAGTACAGTCACACTTGCAATGCCTACAACCATGCTATATTGACGTCTAGACACATAGTCAAGTATCCAATAAAAGGGGCAGAAAACTATTTTGGTTCTTTACAAAATGTCCAGTTGAAAGGTGACGCTTATTGGATCAGAGGGTTCTTCCAAGGTTGGAAATATTTCCTCCGAGACTTCGACGGCGAATTCGACGCTTTTAAAAAAGCGAACGTCAAACTAGACGCGAAAAAACTCCTACAAACTGAATCTGGAGACGAAGTTTATATTGAAGTCTTACGAGCGATTAGCTCGAAATCTAACTTGGTGAAAGTCGTAGCGAAACGAAGCAACAACCAGATCGGATTCTTCGGATCGATTGCTGGTTTTTCTGGAAAAGGCGCTAGTGGTTATCGAGGGTTCTTGGTCGTGGTGCAACACTATCTACTGTATGCTAACGGGGATATTTCTTCTAGTACCTTCAGGTACCATCTGACGGAACATTTAATGAGCAGAAGCGAGGTTCAAATTAATTATGAGGAGAAGTGGGAAACCACTATTAAAAGAATGGTACAAACGATTAAGGTGGAGCTTAAATTGGAGAGAGAGTTTGGAGGTATACTACAAATCTTGGAGAAAATTCAGAAAAAGCAGTGGACTTTGAATGAGGTTAATCTTTACGAAGGGGTAACTGCTATTTGCAAGGAGAAACGTCCTAGTAATAAAGAGTCGATTAAAAAGCTTTGGGGAAAACTGAAAAAACGTGGAGATAAAGACAGCAATGAATGTGATTAAGGTTTCAATTTGTGAACGTTAATTTATTGTATTATTTATGTTGGTAGTACTTATCTGTTGTACGGGATAAATATTTCACAGTTGGTTCTAGTGTTTTATTTTGTATTTTTATGTTGTGATACCTATTATTTTTTAGCCATTTATTTCGCTTTTTTCTGCTTCTTTCAATGTTGCAAAGGAATTTTTGGATTATGTTTATTTAGAAATATTTTAACTTTTCCAGGAAAGCAAAATAAAAAAGAAAACAAGAAATATCCCTTTAATAAACAATCTACACTTAATATTTTCCGAGCGACTTGATCGTTTAAGGTCTAAAATGTATGGAATGTGTGTAATTTTTTATGTAACTTAGCTTAAAAGTTGTACTAAAAAGTAACTTACAAAAAATCGGGCGAAGGTTAAAAAATTTTAAAAATCGAAAAACCGAGATTTCAAGAAATCGAATCAAAAAATCGTAAAATAGAAAAATCAAAAATTTCGAAAATTAAGAATTAAAAATTCAAAAATTCGAAAATCGGGAAATCGAGAAACCTAATAATCTACAATTTAAAAAATTGAAAAATGGAAAGGTCGAAACATCGAAAAATTTAATAATCGACATTTTCAAAAATCAAAAAAACTGAATATCTCAAGATCGAAGAAAAACGGATGAATCCAAAAATAAAAAATCGAAAAATTGAAACATCTGAGAATAAAAGACAGGTTGAAGAATCGAAAAACTCAAACATCGAGAATCGAAAAATTCCAATACAGAACTGAAAAATCAGAAATCCCAGAAGTCGAAAAGTGGAGATATCGAAAAATTAAAACACTGAAATATCGAGAAATTCAAACATAAAAAGATCGAGAAATCTAGAGGTCGAAAAATCGAAAGATCGAGAAATAGAAACATCAAAAATCTGAAAAATCTAAAATTTAAGAATTCGGAAAATTGAAAACAGAAATATCGAAGAACTTCGAAATCGAAAAATCTAAAATTTTAAAAATTGAAAAATTGAATAGTCGGAAAAATTGAATAATCGAGAAATTCAAATAACGAAAATTAAAAAAATTGAAATAATGAGAAAGTAAAAAATCGGCAAATCGAAAAGTCGGAAGATCGAAAAATTTAATAATCGAAATATTAAAAAATCGAAACACTGAAATATCTCAAAATTGAAAAAAAAAAACTGAAGAACCAAAAAATTGAAAAAACCCAAAACTGAAACATAGAAAAATCGAGAAATCGAAACACTGAAAATTCCAGAAATCGCGAAGTGGGAAAATTAAAAAATCCAAGCCAAAATGTCGAAAAATCGAGAAATCGGAAATTCGAAAAATCAAAAATCGATTAATCGAGAAATTGAAAAACCGGAAAATCAAAAATTTAGAAACGTCAAAAATGGAAATATCGAAAAATGAAAAAACTGAAACATCAGAAAATCGAGAAATCGAATTAGTCCAAAATCAAAAAGTTAAAAACTGCAAAAATCAATAGAGATATCGAAGAACTAAAAAATCGGAAAATCAAAAAATCTGAAATTTTAAAAATTGTAAAATTAAAATATCGACTAATTGAAGAATCGGAGAAACTGAAAAATTTAGAAATCGAAAAATGGAAAAGCCGAAAAATTCAAAAATTTAATAATTGAAATACTTGTTAAAAAATCAAAAACTGAAATATCTCAAAATCGAAGAAAAAATGAAGAATCCAAAAATTTAAAAATCAAGAAGTCGAGAAATTGAATCATTGAAAAGTCCAGAAATCGAGAAGTAGGAAAATAAAAAAATCGAGAAATCGAAAAGCTGAAAAATCAATATATCCATTAATCGGGAAATTAAGAAAAAAAATTAGAAACGTTGAAAACTGAAAAATTGAAAAATAGATAAATGCCGAAACTGAAACATCTGAGCACAGAAAAGTCGAAATATTGAGTAATCACAAAATTGAAAATCGAGATATTGAAAAATTGAAAAATTCGAACATTGGAAAAACTAAAAATGAAGAATAAAAAAACTGCAAAATCCCAAAATTGAAATATCAAACAATTGAAGAATCGAAAAATTGAAAACGCACAAAAATCAAGAAATCGAAAAATGGAAAAACTGAAGAATCGAAATATTGACAGATTTCAAAACTGAAATTTCTAAAAACTGAAAGTTCAAAGAAAAATTTGAGAATCAAAAAATTGAAAAATTTCCAAATTGAAACCCCGAAATATTGAGAAAATCAAAAACTGAAAAATAGAGAAATCGAAAATTCTGAAATTTTTAAAATTGAAAAATTAAATTAAAATATCGAAAAATTGAAGAATCGGAAAAATTAAAAAATCGAAAAATTGAAATATCGACAAGGTAAAAAATCAAGAAATCGCAAAATGGAAATGTCCAAAGATTGGAAAATTTAATAATCGAATAAACTGAAGAATTAAAAAACTGAAACATCGAAAAATTGAGAAATCAAAAAACAAAAAAATCGAGAAATCGAAAAGTCCAAAAATCAGAGTCGAAATATTTTAAATTTAAAAAACCGAAAAATTCAAAAATCAATATCCTAAAATTTCGAAAAATTGAAGAATTGAAAAACTGAAAATTCGAAAAATCGAGTAATCGAGAAATCGAGAAATGGAACATTGAAAATTCCCGAGATCGAGAAGTGGGGAAATCAAAAAACCGAAAAGTCAAAACGTTGAAAAATCGCGAAATCGAAAAGTCGAAAAATCAAAGTCGATTGTTCAAGAAATTGAGAAATCGGAATATCAAAAATTTGAAAAATTTAAAACCTGCAAAACTGAAACATTGAAAAATTGAGATTTTGAAAAATAAAAAACCTAAAAATCGAAAATATGAAAAATCGAAATATTGAGTAATCACAAACTTGAAAATCGAGACATGAAAAATTGAAAAATCGGGAAATTGGAAAATCTAAAGATCAAGAATAAAAAAACTGAAAAAATCCCGTAATTTAAATATCGAAAAATTGAAGAAGTATAAAAATCAAGAAAACGAAAAATTTTAAAATCGAAATACTGATAGATTCCAAAATTGAAACACTGAAATATTGGGAAAATCAAAACTGAAAAATCGAGAAATCGAAAGGTCTAAAGGTCGAAGTCGAAACGTCAAAAATTTAAAAAATCGAAAAACCGAAAAATACAAAACCTGAAAAATCGAAAAATTGAAATTGAAAAACTGAAAAATCGAAAAATTGAGAAATCGAAAATTTGAAGAATTGAAAATCTGAAGAATCGAAAAATTAAAAAAATCTTAGTACCGACAAATCTAAATATTGAGTAATCACAAAATTGAAAATTGGGACATGAAAAATTGAAAAATCGGGAAATTGGAAAATCTAAAAATAGAAAATAAAAAAACTGGAAAATCCTGAAATTTAATTGTCGAAAAATTTAAAAATCAAAATATTGGTAGATTCCAAAACTAAAATATCTGAGTATTGAAAAACCGAAGAAAAATTTAAGAATCAAAAAATTGAAAAATCTCAAAACTGAAATATCGAAATAATGGGAAAATCAAAAACTGGAAAAACGAGAAACCGAAAACTCTAAAGAATGAAGTTGAAAAGTAAAAAATTTAAAAAATCAAAAAACTGAAAAACACAAAACCTGAAAAATCGAAAAATTGAAATTGAAAATTTGAGGAATAGAAACATTGAAGAATCGAATAATTGAAAAATTCCATCAAAATTTAGTAATGGAAAAATTGAAAATCTAAAAATTGAAAAATTGGAAAATTGAGAAATTGAAATATCTAAAAACGGAGAAAATTGAAAACTCCCAAACTGAAATATTGAAAATTTTGAGAAATCGAAGGCTGAAAAATCGTGAAATCGAAAAGTCGAAAAACTGAAAACCAGAAAATTCCGATATCTACAATTTTGATTTTTTTTGCAAAAACCTCGATATCTAAGATAAAAATTCAACACGGATTCATAAACCACAAGATCAGGACTATGTTCATTTGAAAAATGACATAATAATAATAATAATACAGATTTAATGTCCAACAGAAATTTCTTTCAAATTACAGGACATCGTCAAGATTTTAAAAAGTACAATTTTTAGGCTTTTTGATCGTTCATGGTTCTAACACAATATTAAGACACTACTCTAAAACACGTTGCGTAAATTCACTTCAGGTTCAACTTATTTTATTGATGGTTTTTTTATTTGGTCATTGTATTATTTACACTTCATAATTTCTCATTCTAGATTTAAAATAGTTCATTTATGGCACTTAAACTAATCTTGAACATCGCTCCACTTTTAGAGAAAGAATTTTGAAAATTGTCATCAGCTAAATTAAAGTTATCGTAGATTAGAAATAGAAACGGAATTTTTGTTTATGTTCTCTTACATTAGTGTCTTATTTTTTTACAGCCTGAATTCGAACATAAACTGGTTTCCTCTGCCTTAGTTTTCCAATGTTTTACAATTTCCTGAAATTATCGACTTTTTTGAAAGCAGAAATTCCCAAAAAAATCTAGAATGTTCTAGAAATCGGTCGAGAATTCTTCCTTTACTGTTCTACATCTTCAAACTAATGTTCTTTAAAATTAAAATGTTCCAGATTTTCCGGATCCGATAACCTGAAATTCGGATCCGATTTTACATCCGGATATTTGCGGTAAACTTGAATCCGGATCCTGATTTAAATTGTTTACCTTCGATAAATCTTTCAAATCTTACTTTCTCATCAAAAATCAGCTTGGTAAAACATGCCATAACACGATTTTGTTAAAATAATAACAACCATGAAAATTAACGAAGGATCAGTTTAGCTCCAAATTTCTGGATAAAGATCATCTGGATAAAAACGACAAACGTTGATCCGGATTTTAGCGAGATCCGGATTCTTCAGTGAACAACGTTTTCGCTCACAGTTTCATTTTTTTTTTTTTTGTTGAAATTTCACAACTCCTCTATATTTAAACCTCCAAGTGCATTTTTTTCCTCAAGTTTCACAACTCCTCTATATTTAAAACCTCATTCGCCATGGACGAAAACTGATTTAATCTAATAGCCACGTCGTTAACTATTGCCCAACAATTAACATTTATTGGGTACAGAAGCATCTTAATCGTGATAA